GATCAGTTCGAGGCAGGTGGCAGCTGCACATGGTTAGAACATCCAATGCAGCATCAAGTTCCCCATCTATGCATGTACTTGAGGGCAAGTCCAGCAGCCAGCTGTTTGTCCTTCAACCTTAGGCAATACTGCCAACTAATTCGCCAGATGCCATGCCCCTCGTAACCCTGAGGTTGTCTAGAGTTTGAATGAATTCCTTCTCCGCGTTCAATTAGTAGTTGAAGCAACTTGTCCGAGGCTCCATTACTTAGAAAACGATCAGAGAGTGCAAGAGCATCAATTAGTTTTCCTTCATCAATCAACCATTCCACAGCTGGCTCATATGGATCTTTATTCTCTAAGCCAAAAGAAAGAAAAATTGTACTATCAATTTCATCTCTTTCAGGTTTGATACCACCATTAGCATTTTGCATAGTTGTTACAGCAAATTCTGAAACCCTATGAAAATTAGTCCGCATCTGTATTCCTTGGTCGAAGACCAAACAAATTAAAAGACCTTTAGTTCTATCCTGCAGTGCTACAAGAATTATGTAGACTCCAGGCTCATACTGTTCAATCCAGTCAGCCTCAACTTGACCGCAATTAGCTACTGATGCAGAATTTCTGCATTTCATACTATTTTCGCTCTCTCTGAAATATCCAGATTCTCTTTCATCAATAACCTCTGGCAAATTACTGTTCTCTTCCGGCAAACCTGTGGTACCCTTCAGCAGCCTATTATCTGAATGGTCATTGATTGCGGCAGAATCAAGTGCAGTGGGGAAGGCAATAAAAGAGCCACCAATTGAATCATATCTCAAATGTCCCAATCCCTTTGAATATGGACAGTGAACACCATTTTTCTCCAAGCCATTTGGAAGGAATGTTGGTTTAATGCTCTCAGATTCATAAACTCCAGGTGGCAACCTCTCAGCCATATCCTTGAGCTGGGCTGTTAGCGATTGTATAACTTCCTTGTTATCTTCAGATGTAGCAGACTCCTCTGCAGCCAATGACATAGCTTCCTGAGCTTTCATCGTTGATTTTTGAAGCTCACATCTCATCCTCAGGGTCGCAACCTGTCCACACAACTTGAGCACTTCTTGGTTCAAAAGGTCATTTGTCTTTTTGAATTTATCCATGAAATTTGTGGGGAAACAAAATTCAGATTTTATTGGAACTGGGGTAGCAGATCGTGGAGGGCTAAGTTTCCTTAATGAAGGTGAAACAGATCTGGAACTCATTCCAGATGGAATAAGAATTGGTTTAGGAACTGTCCATTGCAAATCTACAGCAGTAGACAAAGCAATATCTTTCAATTGTAATAAAGAAGGTGCTTGAGTTGAGCGAACCAAGGAGAATGTTTCAGCCTTATCCAACCTGTCCTTGCTCTCAGCTGAAAGGCGTGGTACAAAATTCATCCTATTATTACCAGCTTCAAAAACCTTGTTCCTTTTAGTAAAATAGGAATAACAGACACGAAAAGGTTTCCCATGATTAAGGGCCAAAGCTGCTCTTAGTGCCTTCCTTGAACTGCAGGAATGACAGTGCACAAGTCCATAGTTGTAGCAATTATGTTTTTTTCTGTCGACCCCCAAAGCTTGTCTACAAGCCGAGCATTGAGATTCCTCGGTACCAGATACCCATTTATGGAGACATATAGCAGCACTATAGTTTGAACCACAAGCTATATACTTGACATGTCTATCCTTCAATCCCTCAACCATAGTAAGAGTTTTTCGATCTTCAACCTCTCCATGGCCCAACCTACCGTTAGCTCTTTTTCCCTAAGTATAGACTTCATTCCTGGAAGTTAGAGCTGCGATGAGATATGCACCACAGGCAATTTCTTCAACACATTCCCCTGAAAGTTTGTCTTCTACTAAACATGGTATCTTTCCATCAGCAAAGGGATTCCCAAATTGACCATACACAATACTTCTCCTTGTAAAAATATTCATTGATGTTGTCAAACCAACTGTTAAGCCATGCCCACAAGCAACTTTGTGAAAATTGTAATCATTTTGTGCTAGAACACACGTGGGCTTAAGCCGAGTTTCTTTGTCTCCATGTCCAATTCGATTTTTGTCCTTAGCTCTCCATCCTGTGTCATAATAAGTGGCAGTGTTCTTTCCCAATTTTTCCAGAATCTTCATTCCATCAGTCTCAAGGAGGTTAAGAGTACTTACTTGAGCATTCTCTAAAATGGTTTGCTCTTGTTCCTCGATGTCCACTAGATTATCATCATGGTGGTTCCAATCAACACAATGAAGATTAGCATCATATGCCTTTTCAACCTTGACAGCAGGGCTAGTGCCAACTCGTGCATCCCATAATATGAGGCAGGAATCATCACCTACACTACAAAACTCTTGTGCACTGGATGGAGAGAACGCAACATCTTCAACTGTATCCTCATGCCCACAGAAGATATCACGAGGACCTACAGAAGGCCCCTCGACTGCTTTATCATTACCTTCCCCAAACTTATTCTGTTTGATGATCGATCCACCAGATATGTGGTCCTTGATGTTCCACCAAACCACTGATTTGTCCTTCCCTCCAGAGATCACATAGGATTCAGTAGGACACATTTCAAGAGTAATTTCAGCATTATCTTGATGTCCGGTCAAAATCAAATCCGGGCGAGAATGTGCAGCTCCAAGGACAGCATGACGGTTGGGTTGAGCTTCAACATCCCAAATAAGAACATCTGGACTATCAGTGTGTGTAGCAACAATCTCCGATTTCTGTGGAAGTTCTCTGATTCTGTTAACCTCTCCAGGATGTATGAAGGTCTTGTACTTCTTCACGAAAGGCGGGCGTGCTTCTTCATTAGACTGAGAGATGTGCTCAGCAATATCTTCAGGTAATTGTTCTGATGTAAATTGCCCGAAATAATCAACATAAGCAGTGATTTGAATCTTTGATGTTGGCAATTTATCAAACACCTGAGAATCATCATTTTTTTCCTCACTCTTTTTACCAGTCAGCAACTGTAAAATGTGCTCCACATTTCTCTGTTGCGATGCCATTTTGGATTCCAACATACTCAACCGACTGTCCTGCTTCTGCCACCATTTAGGAGGTTTTGTGTCATCCGCTGCTTGTGTTACCAGAGTTGTAAGTTCTGCAATCTGCTGCTGGATTGAAGAAAGATTAAGAGTTTCGACCATGGTTTGATTCTTTACTTCAAGCTGCCAGGAAATGATGGCTCTGAATACCAATTGTTATGGATTGAAGAGAAATAGAGAAGATTACGAGAATAGAGATGATAGAAGAAGAGAGAATTTAGAGAAAAGGAAAGTTCATCATTCATTTCATGAGGAAGAAAATGCCTCAAGTCGGGTATTATTTAGCTACAATGGTTGTACGGTAATTCTAAGGATGCCAGGTGGCTGTCCTTTGTAACAGATTCTAACAACTCTACTTATCCCTTCCTTTCTTCTGCAGGTGACTCGGCCTGCTCCAACTCTTAGCCTGCTCCAACTCATCTGGTAAGTTAATCATATGCCCTTCACATGCTTCAATTCCCAATTTACATTTTTCATTCCCTAACCCTTGCGCATCCATTCCCAATTTCTCCCTTCGCTCATCCATTCTAGAATCCTCCTCGCCGTCCTTCTTCTTCTCCGACCATAACAAATATCTACAAATAAGGTCCTCCTTACCTTGTAAACTTTTTATTTAGATCATCAATGCAACTTTTATTTTTTTTAATTTAATCTTCTGTTTTATTTAAGTTATAATTTCATCCTGAATTGTTTTTTAAAATATTTTTTTTGATCTTATTCGAATTTGGTCATGTAATTTCTGTTTATTTCATTTTAGTCGTAAGTGTTAATTATGGGATATTTTTATTTTAGTATCTGTACTATTTAATATTTGTGATTTTGGTTCTAGTTTATTTAAAATTACTGTTCAATCCTTTAAATTTTTATTTTAACTATTTTAGTACTTGAATTTTCTATTTTTGTTATTTTGGTCCTTTAAATCTCTATTTTTACTATTTTAATCCTCTAAATTTTGGATTTTATCCATTTTGGTTCTTATAAGTTTCTATAATTACTGTTTTAGGACTTTAAGTTTTTGTTTGTGCCATTTTAGTACTTTAACTTTCTATTTTTGTTATTTTGATCCTTAAAGTTTTTGTTTTTCACCATTTTGGTCTTTATAAATTTAATACTTATTTTGCTCATTTGTATTTAGGTTTGTAATATTTATTTGTTTTCATTTTAGTCCTTTGAATTTCCTCCTTTAAGTTATTAATTTTAAGCAAATTAAATTAACTTTAATAAAGGGATCACAATCTAATTATCTATGTGAATTCATAATTTCCATCATTTACGACGATATGTAAGCGACACAGTACCAATTTTGGGCGTTGTGGGGGTGCTAATCATTTCCCACACGTAACCAAATCCATTCAATTGAATCTTTGGTAAATGTATACCAACTTTTTATCTTAAAAATGATTTTTTTCTTAAAATTGTTTTTACAATACATTTTTAGGTATTCAACCTACCTAATCCAAAGGTTGATGACGACTCTATCCAATTTAATTCAAAATCACCGAATTTTTTAAATTAAAAGTCATAATTGTTTTTAAAAACAATAAACAATTGTTCCACCCTAAAAATGGTTATGACACTAATATATGGGGTTAGGTTTGTAGTTTTGACTTTTGAGGCAATTAGTTCATTAGATGCTTTAAACGAGTTTAATTATTCAAATTTATTTTACTTAATTGCTCGTGGCATGTTTAGCTTTCATCTAGAATTAATATCTAAATTGAGTGTGTGTACTATCATGTCATAATCTAAAAGAACTTGAATTCACCTTTGGAACTGTAGCTTTATTCCTTGAATTCATCTTTGGAAGTTACAATTCTATGTTCCTCAAGCTTGGAATAGGGGTAACAGAAAATATTACAAGACTCGGAAAAAGCGAGTGGCATACAATTGTATTCAATTTTCTCATATGTTTTGGAAGAGTCGAGCTGTTTTTATAGACGCGAATACGTTAAGAAAAATTGAAGAAGCGAAATAATGTGAATCTAATTCCTCCCACCCTTGTTTCTTCTAGATGAGACTACTAGCCAACCATCTTCTGCTTCAGCTGCCTGGCTTGGTTTTGGCTCATCTATTGACAAACCAGCTGGATTCAAACTTGTCCGCGAGTCTGGTACATCTGCCGTCATAGTAGTTGCATTGTCCGCATCCATGCAGTCATCTTCATCGTCATCGTCATCGTCATCGTCATCCTCGTCGGTAAGCTATGATAAAATACAGATCCATAAGTTAAAAAAAAAAAAATACAAAGCATACTATTTCAACCACCCTCAAATTATACGCCTACAATAATACATAAGTGATTAGCAAGGAATCCACCATCCTAATGGTAATCCAAATGGAATTACCATTATGTGAGATGCCAATTCTATTCAAATTCAAAGAACATTAATTTGCCGCGAAGAGGTTCGGCAGTATATAGTGTAAACCTTACAGTTTCAGATCATACAATAATTGGTATCCCACACCATCGACTCTTGAGAGTTTGGAAAGAATCCAGGAATTCTATTCCATATGACTAATGGAATGAGACTTTCCTAATATGATAATACAGCTATTCGAAGCATAAAAAACAAAATCAAAATCCTATAGAGACAGTAGAATATAGTATGTTACCTTCAACATACCAACACAGCTATACTGATCATTGAATCAAAGCCTAGGAAAGAAGCAATAATAAACAGAAGAAAAAATAAATAGAGACATTATCATGTAGTATATTTTCTTCTACAAAAGACATAAGCAAAAGGGTTTGAATAACTAGAAATTACCGGTTTGACATGAGCGACTGGTGGAGGATTTGTAGTCCTCAGTTTCTCAACAGATTGATAATTACCTTCCAAACATTCTTCGTGCATAATCACTAACTTCTCTGCTACCTGTAACAAGTCGTGGAAATAGAATACTTATTGTGAAGCAATAAAAAGCACAAACCCAATCCTTATAAAAGAATTCTAAAACCATTTGCCGTGTTTCATGATCTTGGGATCCAGGTGTTGGACACAAGTAATTATCATGTATTAAGTATCCAAGATGCATTGAGCATGGTTATTTAGGTTAAATAACAATTAAAAATTGCACGACTAACAAAAGCAAGCACATATTAAAGTTACTTGGAATCTACCAGTGTAGTACATGGACAGAGCTAGGATCAAATATGGGGAGGGGGCAAATAGCCTAAATCCAAAACAATAGGGACTCATTAAGTTTTTGATCTCAAAAATTGGAGGGGACAAAAGCCTAATTTAACTTAAGTTTAAACAGATAGGTACCTAAAATGTCATTAAACCAGAAATTTTGGGAGGGGCAAGTGTCCCTTACACTCTCTACATACCTCTGTCTCTGTACTCTGTAGGAGTACATCCACATGGGTACAATCAAATTTCTTCTTCTTTGTTTTAAAGTTTTTTTTCCATATATTTGGAGGATCATTCTCGTAACTAAATTCAGGTATGAGACAAACAAGAGTGCCAAATGCCGGGTAGTTCAACAACAAAAAACAAAGACTCAGAGCAAGAAATGTACAGTTAAATGATAAAGCACCAAAAAGAATACTTCAAAGTGATGTAACTCAACTGTAACTTGTTATAATTCAGCTAGTAGGATTAGCTCCAAAAGAATAAAAGGAGAATCCTTACTTACATTTAATAAAAATATATAGTTCACAATGAGCTATAGGAAGTTAGGAACAGAATCGCGTGAAGAACAAACTACAAAGTTCGATTAAAACAATGATTAAGGCACAATTTTGATGGTTTTTACAATATTTATTAGAATTAAACTAAAAATACTGAAATGACGTAAAAATCCTGAATTAGAACAAAAGAATAAAATCAGGATTGAAAATACCTCCTCAATGCTACCATCTTCAACTAAAGTATTAAGGCTAACCAAACCTTCCTCTAAAACATTCTCCAAAATGTCTATGTAAAGCGCCTCCACTGAGATTAAAAGTACAGGAAAATTTTAAAAATGCCTCCGAAATAAAATCAAATTTAATTATTGAAATTCAGAAAATGTGAAAGAATAGGAAAAATAATCAATTTTAAGATGTAATTTTTTTTTAAATACCTTTGGTTTCAGTGAAGAAAGATAACACGTCGGAGCAGATACATGTTGGCTTTGACGCGAGAGTCTCGGCCGCCCCACTAGTTTTCGACAGCGGCTGTGAGAGCCGACCAACAAGAGAGGATTAAACCTATTCCCTCTTGGAATATGGGAGCCGATCTTACTCGTTTCCATTGGTTTTTATTTTCTTGTCTTCGGGGTTTCGTGGCTCTGCATACTAAAACCCTATGATTTTTTAGCAGGAGTAACTGTTTGGATTTACGGATGAAACTATTCGGATCAGGATTAAAAGGCGGGATTTGAAGCTAATGGGTTTAGATTAGGTTTTAAAGGATCCTATTAGATTTAAGACTTCAATTTACGCCCAACTCAAATCAAAAGCCCGTTTACTAATATTTTATCTATTATTTTTTTACAATAATATTTTATCAATTATTTAGATAATAACTTAAATAATAATATAATAAAATCAAATTTTCAAACTTTATCTATTTAAGAAAATAAAACCGTCTCCGTCTATTTCCTAGCCACGTTCCACGGCAACGAGGCAAACGTGTCAGACCTTGCATGTTCCATGCACGTATAAAATAAAATTTAACTAATTTTTCCATTTATTTCCTCGAATGAATTTCTCACACAATTTGCAAGTAATATAAACTCATAAAAAGAAGATTAAAAAAAAGATGAGCCAGGAACAACCTTGGAAGCCTGAAGAAGAAGCGATTAAACACGGAAATGTACTCGATGTACAAGGTGATAAGGTAATTAAAATTTAATTTGGCATTTTATAAGTAAGAATATATACGAGGCATCCGCAGTCTAAAGAGTAAATTAGCTTTACCAATTTGTATAACTTTTTGCATTATTTTGGTATATAAAAGTCTTATGTGGTTTCCCAATTCAGGGTCAGGGCATACCTAAGACCTTATTAGGATTTATATAAAAAATTATAAATTATCCACCAAGAATGACGGTAGTAAGATTCGAACTTGACCTTACAAGCTCAAATTCTTGAATCCTAACCACTTATGCTAAATAACTTTTTGTATTAATTATACTTTACATAATCTCTCCGTTCTGTATATTTATTTATATAATGTATGTATGCAAAAATAAATTTAACCGTTAAATGTATATAAATAAAATTATATAACAAAAATAATATTAATTGAATCGATGGATTAAAAGTTTAAAATTTGACGTAAAGTATAATTATATCGGCTAGGTATAGGAATGGCAGATACATATAATTTCGTGGATTTTGTATTGCTCCCGCTCTAATTGAGACGGGATCACTATAAATTTAGTGGATAGTGGACGGGTGTGGATGTAAACAGTCATATACCTACCGTGGGTAGTGCAGTAGGTGATGAGTTTGAGACCTTACCCATTATGTATCGGCTCGTTTCGCATCTACCTACCCCACATCATTCCGTCCACTAATTACCTATCATATAAATTCTAGCTATAAATCTTAAGAATTATACGACATGACTTGTAATTAAATCAGATATTTTGTTATTTATATAGCATGTGAGTTTGTTGTTAGACGGGTACACAATGAATGGTGGGTATCCAGTTAAATAATAGATTTGGGGTAAATTTAAAAATACACTAGCGTGGACGAGTGTGAATTTGGGGTAAATTAATATTATTTTTGTTATATAATTTTATTTATATACATTTAACGGTTAAATTTATTTCAAACAAAGAATTTAGGGTAAACCTACTCATAAGCTACTCACACACTTTGAATTTCAAGTCGACGGAGGCGGCGGCACCAGCCCTTAAAGCTGGTTGCTGGCCGCCAATCCTTTTCTTTCGTTTGTTATTTTCTTTTTAATAAGGATGTTTTTAAGCAACAAGGTCGGTGGTGGTGGTGGTGGTCACCGCCTCGCGATAGAGGTTGTTTTCCGTCTTCGAAAGTGGATGACTATACGGAGAGAATTCTTATTTGGTGTTGCGTTTAGATGTTGTTCCGTGGCCACTGTTGTTTTTTGTGTATTGCATTATGTGTTATTTGATGGCACTCCAGACGGTGGTGGAGCGACGAATACAATAGTGTCGATGATGTGATGTGTCCTCGGTGGCAGGAGGGTTCTGCTGCTGTTGCTGGTTTTGAGTTCCTGTTGTGGAAATGAGGTGGCTGTCGGTATTAGTCCTTTCGACGTGCCCTTAGTGTCGATTGAAGGGCGGTTTTGTCCTAGTCTGAGATTGCTGACAGCTTCTGTAATTTGGGAGTTGTTTCATTTGGAATTTTAGCAATGTTGAGAGGTTCGTGCTTTCATTGATGGTTTCTTGGTCGATGGTGGAGCGTGGCTTGCAGTTGTCGATGTAATGGTGGATGTTTTTGGTTTCGTAGAGGCATGTGCAGATGTTACTGGTCCCGAAAAAGTTGGTATGGAGGATGTGCAGTTTAAGGCATTGAGTTAGAGGTTTATTATCGATAGTGGAATGTTGGCAGCAATTTTGGCGCATGCGAATGTCTTAGTGGATTTATCGAAACTAGTGTAGAGGGGTTTTTTGATGTCTCCATTTTGCTAATCGTTATGGGCTGATGGAGATTTATAGGTATTCTAATCAATAGTGTATGCCTCAACATCTTTCCAATTTTTCCAGGCTGCAGGTTGTGTCTTTTGTTGAGGTGGTATCTATTCAAGCTTTGGAGGAGTGCTTCCATGAATATCAACATAATCAAAAGAAAGAAGTCGAAAGAGTAAGGCTGGAGTGTGTTGCTTTATCATAGAGTTTCGATGATAGAAAGTGAAAGCAGTGGTGGGGATATTTTCGGGCGTCGTTTTTGGGCTGTGTGTTTGAAGCTGAAGCAACTTTGGCAATTGGTGATGTTCTGGGTGTGGATTTTTCAGTTTCGAGAGAGTAGGTGCTTGAGAGAATGTTATCGTTTCAGTTATCGGGTAGGGGTTTGGGCTAATTTCTTTTGGCCGGTGTTTGATCTCCTACGATCAAGATTTGTTCAAAGTCTGGTGTTTCATTTTTTTAGTGGTGGTCGTTTGTGTGGCTTTGCTGGAGGGTGATTGTGACGCGCTTTTAGTATTAGCTTGGAAATCTAGGGTTTTCGGCTGAAGCTATTTGGCTTTCTTTTTCTTGTTGCTCAATATTTTAGTTTTTATTTTCTTTGGTCCTGCGTATTACTCATCATGCAGCGTTTGTTGTTAGCCGCTTTTTCAGTCCAGTGACTTCCAATTTTCCTTGGTATATGTTTCGATTATGTTAGTTGTGTGATTTGAGAGACTTAAAACTTCTTCCATGCCAGTTAATATGGGGCATATGGTAGTTCTTGAGTTGCTATCGATTATTGGAATTATGCTTTTGTTCGTGCACGTGACTATGCTATCTAATGCAATCTGGGAGCTATTTATTATGGAAGGCCTGCAAGCATTCTATTATTTTTGTCTTTTGATAGAATGCTAGCTCTTCACTTCTGTTTGCTTTAAGACTTTTCTCCTTCATTGGTTCAGATTTAGTAAGTGAGTATATCCATTTCACAGTGCTTGGTATCGGTTTAGTTCGGGTTGCTATTGCCGGTTCGTCCAGATGTTGTTTCTTTGCATTGGATTAGGCGTCTGCGCTTTTGTTCTAGTTCTAGTCCTCAACTTTTCCTTTGGTTGGTATTTGGTGTGTGTTATGTGTGTGTGGTCTGTGTTTAGTAAGAATTTTTCGTGTATTTCATCTTACCACCTTAAGGTTCACTCTTTTTCCTCCAACTAAGCTTAGGGAGATTTTTTAATGAGGTCCTTGAGGTGGTGTACTTTGTAATACTCCATAATACAAAGTACCCTCTTTAAAAAAATACAAAAATATTAAATATATATAAGGATGTGGAAAAGGTATTTGTATCCGTTCCACTCGTTTATCATCTCTAATTAAGTAGGAGTGTTACTTTTTTCATACTTTAATTTATGTTTAAATATCAAATAACCACTGAAGTGAATAAAAGAGGAATACATATCTCTTGTTTGAATTTTTATTATTTTTAAATTTAAATTTATACCGATACTTGTTATGTTACGGTAAATCTAATTTTTTCCTTTATTTTAATATTTATGCATTAAACGTGATATTAGAGTATAATTTTTATATATATATATATATTTAAAATTTAGGACTTATTTGGTAACTTGTTGCTTTTTTTCCCCAATGTGATGAGCAGGTTACCGGACAACATTGCCAGGCAGCTCCTTTGTCATCAGCTTCTGGACCGAGTGGTGATGCTGGAGGTCCCGTAAGTCCAATCACGATCGGAGAAGCACTTGAAGCAACCGCTCTTACAGCAGGGAAGAAGCCGGTAGATTGGAGTGATGCAGCCGCAATACAGGCGGCAGAAGTGAGAGCCACCGGTCGTACCTCCATAATTCCCGGAGGCGTTGGCGCCGCAGCTGAGTCTGCCGCCAATCTCAATGCCAAGGCAACTACAGAAGAGGAGAAGACCAAGTTGAGAGATATCCTCTCGGTAAGTAAAAGCAGCAGTAGCAGTACCAAACTAGAAAAATTAAGATATAATAATAATTGTAGGTATCATAGATTGATGATAATAGTCGATAGAAAATAGCTGTCTTTTACTACAGTGTGCAATATTTGATTGAATTGAAATGCAGAACGCAACGGTGAAGTTGCCATCAGATAAGGCAGCAACAAAAGGTGACGCAGAAGGGGTGAAGGTTGCAGAGACGAGTAATGATCCAACGCTCACTACACATCCGGCGGGTGTGGCGGCTAATGTGGCCACAGCTGCTAGGCTCAACGACAAGATTGCCAAATGAACCATATCCATCTATCTAATACCATGTACGGTCATCTTTGTTTTCTTGAAATACATACGAATAAGATGAAAGATTCGCAATTGTTTTGAGTAAGGGCTATCCACAGACCAGGTGATATGAATTGTATAGAACTTTCCCCTGTATGGTCATCTTTGTTTTCTTGAAATACATACGAATAAGACTAAAGATTCGCAATTGTTTTGAGTAAGGGCTATCCACTGACCAGGTGATACGAATTGTATACTTCAAATCGATAATGTTCCATGCATTTTTATTTCTTTTTGTAAATCAATTCAAAAGAGATAAAAATGTAAGACAATGCATTACCAAGACTTGTTTCTGAATTGTATTACCAGTGTAGGTGTTTTTTTGAACAACTACTTCATACACATCAAGTACTGAAACCAGGTAAGTCATCGGCAAGTTTCCCTGAAAAGTAAATCGGTTTATGGTATAATGAGTACTATAACAGCATTTAAGTTCCTTTCCAGTTCCAATTGTATTACCAATTGTTGCAGCAAGAGAAACCCCCTTACTACCGTTGAAAATGTTATTTTTTCCAAGCAAAGATTTCCACCCTGACCTTGCACAAAAAAGTAACATTTCTTGGAAATCTTAGCAAATAAAAATTGGAACTGGAAAGGAACTTAAATAACACACAAAATAGCATGTGCCTCACTAGCAAGTAGCAACCGGCACTGCTGCATTTGAAGCATCATTGTCAAGACTCCACTCAGTTCCTGCCACTCACAAACCAAAGCATGCAACGGACATCATTAACGGCAACTAAAATTCATGGATCAAGAAACCGAACTTTTCTGCTGGAAGAAACTCAACAAGGACAACTTAGTCAAAAACCAAAGCTACCGCCTGCCTGAAGGTAGCAGCAGCGCTGATTTTTTTTTTAACGAAATGTATAAGATTGATCAGAAAATATGGAAACATCACTACAAGATACGAAGCTTATAAGAGAGAGGTTGCTCATAATACTCTTGACATACAGGGCAACTTACTTTCCAACACCGTCAGAAGATCAGTTGTTTTCAAGTTGAAAGACAGATCCAAGAGCTTGAGCCTGTATTCTCCTGGATGAAACAGTAAACAAAGAACCATTTCAACGCAAAACCATTTTCTCTATTTGTATTTTTTTGGTTGCTACTCGAGTTAGCCAGTTTGACCCAGTGTATACTTAATATATTCACATCGACACCATACCTTAAAACTATGTGTCGCAACCGTCTTTCGGTTGGGCTCCGGAATTGGGCTTCGACTTAGATTAAATGGATTGGAGTCGCCACCGATCTTTTATTTTAAAACAAATAGGTAGACCAGATACCTTATTTCTTACCTGATCTGCGTTTTACCAGAGACATGTCGGATTCGGGAGTCGGTTACAGTCAAGGAAGAGTTAGCACCCTTGAACTGCCCTTTCGGTACTACGTAATTTCCAGTTGTTTTAAATTAAGAAAATTATAAGTTTAAATTAAAAGGTAAAATTTGGCCTTGATTACTTACCTCTGATTGTTTTAAAAAACACCCTTGAAAAGTCAAGAAACACGTTAGATAAAAAAAAGATAAAACACAACAAAAATGAAGATGTACATAGTATTAAATAAAAATAATAATAGAAAAATAAGAAATATATATAAAAATATATAGAACAAAATATAATAACAAAAAATATACGTAGTAACTAAATAATAATAATACATCTCTACTTATACATATAAATAATGACATAATATATATATATAAGAAAAAATTTAATATAATATAAATAATTCGAAACAAAAATAGAGAAATATTGTAAATGAAAAGAAAAGTATACTTAAATATATATATATATATACTAATATTAATATTAATAAAATAAATAGAGGTAAGAAAAGAAAAAATATATATACATGTGTAAATAAACACTAGGAAGACAAAATAAATAAAAAAGAATATATATATACATGAGAAAATAATAATAATAAAATAATAGTAAACATAAAAAAATGTGTATATATAATAACGTGAAAGTAAATAAATATAATAAAAAATATACAATAAATAAAATGAGGGAAAAAGTTGGATTTCAAAAAGTGACTAAATCGAAAGAATCGAAACGTGAATGTCCAATTTTGAAGAGAAAACATTGATTTTGGGGGGGCAATTAAATACTTTAAAAAACAGAGGGGACCAAGAGTGAGATTGCCCCTTTTTCACACCCATTCCGAAAAATCAAAGTATTTTCTCAAGAAAAGAAGCCTCGGGGGCTAGATCTATAAAAATAGATCCCGAAAAATGCCACTGTTCATCGGCAAAAAAAAAAAAAAAAAAACGTTTTCTTTGGTGTTTTTTGAATACAAAATGTAACAAGACACAAGCATGCAAGCATAAACTCGAAAAAGATACTATATTTACCTTGTATTTCTCTTCGAAAATTTGCAGGAAAAAAAAACTCTAATTTCACTCTAAGATTGCTCGTAATTTCTGCTTGTATTTCGTATTACAATCTGTGTCCTACAAATGGGGAGGATTACATGTATTTATAGTGAAAAAAAAACTAACTATTCTTAGAATCCTATCAACAATAGAATCCTAATGTAACTAGACTCCTTGCCCGGTTCTTGCACGTTTGTTGGTTTAGTTGTCGATTTAAAAGATATGGTGGTGGAAGAGTCCCCTTAGGAGAGAAAATCTTGCTAGTTATATCTTTTAAGAAAATAGGTGTCTACATCTGCCCCTCTTTGTCCTTTTTCGTGGAACGAAAAATAGGACAAAGATAAAAAGACACAAATTTTCGTTCAGTGGAGTCGAAGAATAACTCCATGTCGAATTGAGTTGCAGATGGCTCCTCTGTCGCGAAGTCAAATCCATCTTGAAAAGATTTGTCAATATGAAATGACCCCCTTGTCGTGCGATTGAGTCAAAACTGGAAAATTCTGAGCCTAAAATCCTTCGTCGTGAAGTTGAAATCGAACTCGGAGTACTGGAAGTAGCTCATGGATTGTCTTCTAGCCAAAGATACTTCGTTGTGAAGCTGAAACTCGTCTTGAAGACTTTGGTGTTGTGGTGTTACAGATGAAGTTGTGTCCATCTGTTCGTGAATTTGAAATCGTATAGGGCCCCTTCGTCGTGAAGTTGAGCCTGAGAATTGGATATCCTTCGTCGTGAAGTTGAAATCCGATGCAGGTCCTGCTGTTCCGAGTCCAATATCTTCTGTCGTGAAGTTGAAGTTGGTTCTGGAACTGGGAAATTGTTTTGTTGACAGTCAGCCGTCCATTCGTTGTGAAGTTAAACTTGTGCTGTCTCGAGTCCAATGCTCTTCAATGTGAAGTTGAAATTGGCTCCGAAATTGGGAAATTGTTTGTTGACAACCAGCCGTCCCTTCGTTGTGAAGTTGAACTTGTGTTGTCTTGAGTCCAATATCCTTCGCTGTGAAGTTGAAATTGGCTCTAGCTAAAACCTGAAAAAGTTATGTAGATATGTGATGAAATGGATGCAATGCTCTTAGGTATGCCTAAAATGCATATGCAACATATGTTATTTTTTGGGCTCAGGAGAGAAATCTCGATCTCCGGTTGCTTCTCTGGAATCTTAGTTCTGGAATCTTCAAGTTCTGATCCCTGATCTCGAATTCTTCAAATGTTCAAATCTAATGTGCACATTCTATTTTTTGATTTGAGAAATGCTTCTCGACCATCCCAAGTATGTGCCTGAGCTGAGTGTAACGGTTTAAATGATGCTTCAAGAGAAGTTGTCTTAAAAAAGACAGAATTCGTTTCAAGGGAAACGATCTTAAAGATATATGTTGTTTCATGAGAAACGGCCTCAAGGGAGACAAAATTTTGTTTTAAGGGAAATAAACTCAAAGATTTTGTGTTTCAAGAGAAACTGTCTCAAGGGAGACGAAATTTGTTTCAAGGGAAACAATCTCAAAGGTTTTGTGTTTCAAGAGAAACATTTTCAAAGGTTTTTTGTGTTTCAAGAGAAACAATTTCAAAGGTTTATTTTTTTGTTTCAAGAGAAACTGTATCAAGGGTGACACAAAAAACATATTCAAGGATTGATGTTTCAAGAGAAACTGTCTCAAGGGAGACAAAATTTTGTTTTAAGAAAAACATGTCTTAAGAGAGACAAAATTTGTTTCAAGAGAAACTGTCTCAAGAGAGACGAAATTTGTTTAATGTAAAACATATTCAAAGATTTTGTTTCAAGGGAAATTGTTTTCAAAGTTTATGTTTCAATAGAAACTGTCTCAAAGGAGACAAAATTTGTTTCAAGGGAAACTATCTCAAGAGAGACAAAATTCATTTCAAGGGAAATGTTTTCAATGTTTATGTTTCAAGAGAAATTGTCTCAAGGGAGACAAAATTTTGTTTCAAGGGAAACTATCTCAAGAGAGGCAATTTATTTCAAGGGAAATGCTTTCAATGTTTATGTTTCAAGAGAAACTGTCTCAAGGGAGACAAAATTTTGTTCCAAGGGAAATGTTTTCAATGTTTATGTTTCAAGAGAAACTGTCTCAAGGGAGACAAAATTTTGTTTCAAGGGAAACTATCTCAAGAGAGACAAAATTCATTTCAAGGGAAATGTTTTCAATGTTTATGTTTAAAGAGAAACTGTCTCAAGTGAGACAAAACTTTCTGTTTCGAGGGAAACTATCTCAAGCGAGATAAAATCTTGTTTTAAGAAAAATAATCTTGAGGGAAATAAATATTCTTTCGAGTAAAACAGTCTTAAGTGAGACAAAGTCTGTTCTAAGAAAAACAATCTCAAGTGAGATAATCATCTGCATTAAATGAGACTGTCTTAAGCAAGACAATCCCATCTTCTCCTGAAAGATCTGTAAAATGTATCGGGATGTAACTATCATGATGATGGATGCTTGATGTATGCCAAGATGAAATTTATTTACTGTTGAATTTTCCCTCAAGAGAGGAAAAAAATCAAGGTTTTTATTGCTCATGATGATGAATGCAAAGATGCAAATTTCATACATCATGTATGTACATGTTGATGTATATGTTGAGATGTGAGGGGAATGGTTGC